GATACATGATATTGCTATGGATTAATTGTGGCCCAGATCTGGCAAACAGGAGCGGACTGCCCAAGTGCCATGAATTTTGCTAGCTGGGTTATGTGATTTTAAAGCCCCCAAAGTCCACACACATATTAACCAAGCCCTGGTCTTGTATCTGCCTTTGGAATCTGTATGGACCTGCCACATGTTTTGCAATATAATCAAATGCATATGATAATTTGCACTTTTACAATACTCAGTCCACCACTGCATAATGGTTTGTTTTATCATCTTACTTCATCCAGGATGCTGGACGACCCATAATTAAAAGAGTGGAATGTAAAAAATGAAAGCGTTACAAATCTTTCAAATAGCTGCCGGGCATCACAGTAATAAAACGTACAGTAAGTCCATTTACACTTTCACAATGGGAAGCAAAGCTGAGCAGGAAAACTCACACAGAGATCTGACCCATTCACCTGATTTATACCCAGTGACTGCCCCCAGCTGTTCACATTGCCAGAGCCAAGACTAAGCATGCATAGCTGAATGCCATTTATTGGGAATTCAAAACCTCTGGCCAAAAGTCAAGGTGCCAACAGAGCCATGGTTAAAATCAAATTCACAAGTGCTGATCTCCAGGAGCAGAGACTATTACAGACTTCATCAAATCACCACAGCATCCAAACGTTCTCCATATTACAAAGGGCTTTCTTTGTAAAAACGACGATCAGGATCAAGCGGGATGTCCGACCATCCCCTTAAACTAACATACACAAAGAGAGAAAATGAAATAGGAGCGCTCGGTAAAATCCCCTTTGTCTCCCTCCAAAGCTGTTCAAAGAGAACAAATTGCCAGAAACTGTTAGATCCAACAGCCAGCGGAAATAATTCACAGCTTCATTGTGTGACTATTAAGGTCTGCAACTGAGGGGCTTCTGTTTCAAAATATTTTGTCAGGCCTTCAGTGAGAGATGAGCAGCACCGTCTGGCACTTTGTGTGCGGCCAGTACAATGACTCATTGTGACCGAAGAGGAAAGTGGGCTTTTGGGATCTAGAGAGAAGGGGATATTAGTCACAACTCCCTGAACTGCCCCAATCTGGGCTTGGTGGCCCATCTCGGTTCATTGTGATTAACACGACTTGACGAACAAACGATGTGAGGAGTCTGGCATGATGACGTGCCGCAACAGGTGTTTACTCATTTATGGCACAATGGATTGTTAGTTTCAGTTCAAAGTAAACCTCCCATTATGTCTGCTGCTCATTATGACAAGATTCTCACTGGTATCAGTGATCATGTGAACTAATGACCCGCTGAGGAGTATGGATGTTTGTTACCTAGCTCTAGCAAGAATTTGACTATTGCAGACAAATGAGGTCATCATATGGAAGGACATTTCTGACACAGAATTAAAAGAAAATGAATAAATCATATTCATATATAGTTTGTTTAAATTTGGACTTTTTTCTCTTTCGCAATTGTGAAATGTAAACCATATATAAAAAAAATTTAATTAACTTTAGAAGGGAGTAAAGTTAAATGTACTGCAATTTTGAGGGGAAAAATGCAGTAAGAAATTCTGAGGGCTCTATTTTAACAATCTAGGTTCAGAGTCTAAAGCGCATGGCGAAAAAGCATCAAGCTTTTTCTTGTAAAGTGTCAAAAAGTAAACTTGATTAGAGTTGCAGGCCATTAAACTGTATTACATTAAATTTGCCATGGGTAATTTTCTAATTTATTTGTGAATTATTTAAAAAAACTGGAAAATGTTTCTTTAAAACATTAAATGATGTAGTATAATTAATTTTTAATAATGAACTTGTTATGGTAAAAACATAAACAATGCCATTTATAACACAGTGGAGTTCAATGCTGAATACACTAGTCAAGCTGCTCCTGTTAGAGATGCGCGGTTGGCGGTTATAGCCGCGGACTCCGCGGATAAACCGCGGATCGGGCGGATGACGTTACGAAAAAATAATATTTTAATTAAATTCGGGCGGGTGGCGGGCGGTTGTACTGTTTTTATATACATAGCTGGCGCACCAACGAAAAAGCCTAGGACTGACTTCACAGAATGGGAGGAGGAATTGGATACACTAATTCTGGATGAAGTGTACAGAAGTATTCCTCTACAAACTTCCGTATAGACGGATATTCAGAGCAAAATCTACTTTCTTTTTGGGAGAAATAAGGCAGGCATTCCCACGACTACAGCACCTTTCCAAGAGAATTCTATGCATTTCAGCAACAAGTGCTGCGAGCGAGCGCTCCTTCAGTGCAGCAGGGCGCATTATAGTGGCTATGCAGGCGCTCCCGTCTGAATCCTGACACAGATGCTATTTTATTCCTGCATTGTGCCAAGAAAAAAATCGAACTAGACCTAAGGCATATTAAACCAATTAGCCTATGTTATTTAGGCTACACATATGTTCAATATAAACTTTTGAGTTCGGTCAGCTGATAATTTTACGTTCACATTGGTTTAGCCTATTCTATTCTAGACATGTTGGCCTCGCTTTTACGTTCCGAGGCTAAGGTTATTTTGCCAGAATTTCTTTGTCGCAACTTTAATGGCGTAGTATTTCGTTATGCTTCAAGTTTGAGGGGAATGGGGATAATCCTAAATCTATGGGTTATTGGGGCACTTGTCATACATGCACTTTAGCCTGGTCAGACTATGTTCGCTCAAAGAGGGATGGCATATCTGTTTTTCTAATTTAATTTCTAATTGTGGGGGTGACTGAGCCTAGAAGGTTTAGGCACGATATGACGTTTTTATTAAAAAATTTTCAACTGTTTGCCAAAGCATGCGACTATAGCCTATGCCTACATTAAGATATTTATGTTAATATTTTTTTTTACTGCCTGTTGTTTCTTTTGGCATATAAAATAGGTATTGTCTGATAGAGATATCAATAAAGGTTTATCTGTGTCGCAGAACTGTGTTGTTTCCGATTTCTACAAGCTCAATAACATCCACAGCAAAAAATAAATAAATAAAAAATAGTCAAAAAACTGTGCCCATTAATTAGATGTGCAAGGCAAGCAGGTACGTTTTTGGGGTTGCTATGGACAACTACAAATGTAAACATTATTAGGCTATAATGTAAATGACTTATTATTCTATCTATTTACTAAAAAATAAAGTGAAATAGGCATTTATTAGTAGGCTAAATAGCAGCATGTTGAAATGATGTGTCAATGCGTTTTCTATTAGGCTACAATAAAAAAAAAAGTTGTATAGTACAGTGCGTTTAATTTAGGCTATTTATTTATTTTTGTCCCTGTGCGCCGATTGGAGACAGAGTTCACTGCTGATATTCTGAGAGCTCGGGTGCTTCTCATTTCTTATTTGTGCATCCTCGTTACCTTTCCTTGCTTTCTTTCCTCGTGTTTCCACCCCACCGGGATAACGTTACGAGGGAAGGACGCAAGGAAAAGACTGAAGGACCGAGGAATCGAATCAAGTGAAAAGACACGTCCTCCTATCTTTAGCGTAACTTCAAAGCATCGTCAATTAATGACTTGCACGTTTGGATTAACTGCATGTCTACATTAAAGTCATTCTCTATTATATAATGATTAATAAAGAAACATTCATTTAATAAAAAAAAGGAATAAGCCATTCAAATAAAGAGCTCAGTCAGCAGATGGCGGGCGGGTGCGGTTTTAAAAATTGGTCAAAAATGTTAGTGCGGATGGATGGCGGACGGATGATGAATTTCGTCATGCGGTTGCGGATGAAATAATAGCCCATCCGCGCATCTCTAGCTCCTGTCTTTGCCTTTGCTCGGCGATGTCTTGTGCATTGTGTATCTGTGAAGTCACATTATTTACATTTTAATAGTCTGATTCATTCAGTCATACATTCATTTTATTTTCGGCTTAGTCCCTTTATTAATCAGGGGTCGCAACAGCAGAATGGAACCCCCAACTTATCCAACATGTTTTACTCAGTGCATGCCCTTCCAACCGCAACTCAACACTGGGAAACACTCATACACTCTTGCATTCACACACATACACTACAGCCAATTTTGCTTACTCAATTCAGCTATAGCCCATGTCTTTGGACTGTGGGGGAAACTGATGTAAACAAAGAGAAAACATGCAAAATCCACACAGAAATGCCAACTGACCGAGCCAGGGCTTGAATCAGCGACTTTCTTGCTGTAAGGCGATCGAGCTACACACTGCACAACTGTGACGCCCCAAGTCTGATTCATTTATAACATTTCAATGAATCATTTAATTTTAGTTGGCTTTTTTGTAGCTCCTCAATCAAACAAAGTAACAAAAAGGTACATTAAATTCAAAATGATGATCTCTGTGAAAGGCATTTCTTTTTAGATGGGATGGCGGGCCAAACAAAAGCTTACCATGGACCAACTTTGGTCCGCAGTCCCAATCTTGGGCACCTCTGATATACACTAAGAGTTCAGAGATGAACATTTGTGAGATATAAACAGAAGTTGAATAGAAAATAAATAAGAAATACAAGATTCTAACTTGCAATTACTTAATCCCAAAGTCCAGATGAGAAAAAGTCAGAACTGCAATATATAAATTCAAACTGAGAATTGAAACATAAAAAGTTGTGATGATTTTTATAATCACTTGATAAAATTATCATAGTTATACCTTTTTATTGTGTTAATTATGAAATGTACACTAGAAAAAAGCCAGAATTACAACATTTAAATTCACAATTCTTAGAGAAAAAAGTCAGAATTGCAAGATATAAACCTCTAATATAAATAATCTGGGATATATTGTTCCCAGTTTATAATTTCCTTTATTTTAATTCCACAGTGGGAAAAATGTTAGATGTTATGTTAAATGTTAAACTCAAAACTCAGAAGCTCAGAACAAAAATTTTTTTTTTAATTCTGGGAGAAAATTCCAAAAAAAAAAAAAAAAGTAAAAAAAGGTCAGAAACTGGCTTCCTTCCATAATAACTTAAGTGACATAAATATAAGACCAAAAACGATAAAAGTCTATTAAAGAAAATATAGCATGCCCTTTAGTCTGGACATCAGCCCAATATATTTTTCATCATTTTAAGTGCATACAAGTTACACATAACCAGATCCATATACACGCAACATAACATTGCAATGTGAAGCATTTTCTGCATAGAGAATACTCTATTGATGACCAGGTGGAATTGGCTGCTTTGACTTTACAATAAATAGTGTATTTGTTTTCAGTTTATCAATCTTACATATATGAATAGCATTTAACTAAGCACAGTGGAGAATAAGTGGCCTACATCAACTTTATAAAAGCATTCCGGGCCAATAAGCTTCTACTGTAAATCATCCTTTGATGTACACAGCGGATACGTGCTACAATTACATACAACATTTGCTTTAATGATGATTGCTTTTAAATCCTTTCATGGTTGGCCCAAATAGCATATATTTTCTCACTTTCTTTCTCAAACATGCATTTTTTAGCAGTGCAAGAGAAATAACTGACCTCAAGGCTCTCAGAAAAAAAATACAAAGGCCTCAGAAAGAATTCTAGGATGTCAAACTCATAAAGAGTTGTGCTAAACTGACTCATAGTAATAAAGGAGATCTTTAGACTACCTGCTGCCAGCATCTGGTTTTGTACTACATGCACATTGTGAGAGTGCGAGTGTTCTTCTAGTAATAAAATGGGTGTCAGACTGGGATGGCACAGTGTTTAAGCGGAGAGGAGACTAAGATGTGCAAAGACTGTCCAGCTGTTCAGGGTTTAAGTACTTCACCACTTCCTTGATCCCGTCTTCACAGCTCCTAATCTTACTCAAGTCCTTCTGCTTGTCCTCATCTTCTTTGAACTTTCTCCAAGTGTCTGAAGTGCAAAAAGAGAAAGGAAAGGACAAGTCAGATGCAGAGGCCTGTTTTATAGCAAAGCAACATGTGCATTCAAACTAAAACTTGCATCTGAATTGCTACTTCCAGTATTTTAGTAATAGTCCTGTAATACGGCTGACAAAATCCATATGAATCACTTTAGCGTGTGTTGTGAAACAGTCTGTCTGGCATTTCAGCCTTTAAGTTAAAGCCCAGCCAAAACTCACAGAATGCACGATGGCTTGATATTAAAAGTGACTTGCTGAAATAGTTAGACAGAATATTTGCAAAAAGGAAATCAAAAACCTTTCTTTAATTTACATGTTATACATGTTCAATTTCCTTTAGTCTGCTCTACCTACTCTTATTTCCTGGCAGCTGAAAACACTCTCAAATATTTAGTACCATCCCTGGTAGAGTCTCGGTTTTCAGAGGCGTTTAAAACTTATTGGGGGTTGACTTAAGCAGAGGAGTATTTTTACAATGTTTGTTCACTAAATAAATAAATAATCTAAAGTTTCCATCACAGATCTGAATATATACTAGAACTTTCTAGCCTAAATTAATTTAGTCAAAAAAAAAAAAAACATTCACCATACCTTCATCTAAAGTGGTCAGTAGTATGTATTGTTCTGGATTTTCTATAAGGTCTTTCTTCTTAACGTCACCTGTCTCCATTAAATGCAAAACGCCTGTAAAGATAAGACGGTTTTATACTATAAAATTTTACTAAAACAAAAACAACAACTCCATACAGTTAAAATACATTTGCTTTTTTGCAGCTGAAAGTTGGCAAAGTTTTAAAAATTGCATATCTAGGTCAGTCAATTTGGAAGTTATCTAGTAAAGTAAGAGAATCCTTCTCTCTATTTTCACACTCCAGCAACAACTGGTTGTTCCAGGACTGACAGATGTGTTTAATATTACAAACGTACAAGTTACAGATTTACATCCAATTTATTCTGTTCACCTTCAACAGTTTTCCAGACTTGTACTTCTACTTCTGTGGCTCCTTGTCTCTCGATGGCAATCATTCGTACTTTATCTTCAGTCTGTGTACCCGATGAGGGTTCAAATTTATACACCAGTAAACTGTTGTTGTCCTGAGCAAGGTAGCACTCCGACTTGTTGCTCTCTGGTTTGAGCTCTGGAAATGAATATGAAATAATCAGTGACTTTGTCTGCAGTTTGTTTCTTTTTTATGTAATGCCCATTCATCTGAATACATGCTAATGTTTTAATGTATTATTATCTTATATTTATAGACTGCAACTGTCAGGATTCAGAAGTTAAAAGTTATCTATCAATCAATTGTATCTGCTTGTTAAGTGGAATTGTATTGAAACTGCAATTGTTAATGCCATACTGCTTTAAGGTCCAAGCCACTACTCATTTGAATTGTGAAAATACTTGTTTATGACCACTTTTTAGTCATATCACAGATTTTTTAAATATAAAATCATGATGTACACAACAGTCTCTGGACTTGTTGCAAATACAGACATCAATATTTAACACAATTTAAAAAAAAAGGAATCCCTTTTTGGTATATATATATATATATATATATATATATATATATGGCGAGGTAGTGGCGAAGTAGGTAGTGCTGTCGCCTCACAGCAAGAAGGTCGCTGGTTCGAACCTCGGCTCAGTTGGAGTTTCTGTGTGGAGTTTGCATGTTCTCCCTGCCTTCGTTTGGGTTTCCTCCGGGTGGTCCGGTTTCCCCCACAGTCCAATAACATGCGGTACAGGTGAATTGGGTAGGCTAAATTCTCCAAAGTGTGTAAATGTGTGTGTGGATGTTTCCCAGAGGTGGGTTGCGGCTGGAAGGGCATCCGCTGCGTAAAAACTTGCTGGATAAGTTGGCGGTTCATTTCGCTGTGGCGACCCCGGATTAATCAAGGGACTGAGCCAACATGAATGAAGATATATATATATATATATATATATATATATATATATATATATATATATATATATATATATATATATATATATGAGCAATATCACACAAGTAGCAGTGCGTAATGGCTGCATATCAGCACTGGTGGGAGGTGTGCCAACGCTGCTACGAGTGTGATATTGTGTTTATACAACAGTTCGATGGCACAATCTTGTATATAAAAAAGAAAATCAAACACGGGTCTAAAACCCTTTTGTATTAGGAACTACTTTCTTCCACCATTCATTCACATCTGCAGCTAACATCAGAACAGAAGAAGCCGTTACTAATTCACCAACGTCACTTTAGAGCTAGTGTTTGAATGATTCTCTATAGTGTAAAGTGAAGCGATGGTTCTTGTGTGACCCCTTTAAGGTGATGACAAAACAGCTGATTTTTGCTCACATTTTAAGATAATTACTATATGATAACCGAAAACTGGTAGAAGATAGAAGAGTGATCATACAGTGGCTATGGCCTAAAAACTTGTCAACGAAATCGTGCTTTCTTACAATTAGCATATCTGATTTACTGGCTTTTAATAAAACCTACTTGAATAGATGTAATGTTCTGACTCTAACTCTTCACTATCCTCCAGTTTAGTCCCAGATTCATTAGGGGTTACCACAGTGGAACCACTAATAACTCCGCTATATGTTTTACGCAGTGGATGAAATTCCAGCCACATCCCAGCACTGGGAAACACCCATACACTCCAATAATATCCAGCTGCAGACCCGCAGAACCACACATGTTTCAGGCACACACAATCTAGCACACACAATCTAGGCAAACCATATTTGGTTACGACATATGTTAATGTTAAGAACGTCTTCTCGGACATCGTCATCAATATAATTGTATATTGTTAATAAATATTGTACAAAATAAACAATAGTGTGTACTATTTCACAAATATTGTGATCAAGAGGAGCAAATGGGGAGCGTTGTTTCCGATTGCCATTCAATATAATTGACTAAACAGTTTTCTATTAGTCATCATAGATGATCAGTCATTATTATCTGACAGAGTCAAAATAGCAGATACTCGTTTGCTGGCCTTGCTGAACGATCTAAATTGGACAGGTTTAATAGGCAATAATACATCTGTAATCTCAATTCCCTTAAACATGTTGGTCATCAATGAAAGACTAACCCATGATAGGACAGAAAAATATTGAGAATCTCAATGGACCATCAGTTCAACACTGCAGCTAGGATTACTTGCAAGTTCAGCGCTGAACCATGTAAAAGATCTCTGCATAAAAGTGTTTCAATGTGTGAACAACATGCGGTCCCTTCCTTGTGCCCAACCTACCAGAATTTTTTTATGCAGCACAATGCCTTAGCTGTGTCATAGCAAAACAGGTAAAGCTGAAAACATTGAAAAATAAAATGGCAGCCAAGTGTCCTGATCTTAACCTGACTGAAAATCTCTGGAAAATCCAAGGTGACAATATCATACAGCCAGTGAACTGTGGAAGAGACTGAAGAAGAGCTCAAGATCTCAGCAGAGTAATGTGCGAAACTAATGATGTCCTGTGGGAGACTTATTTAATGTCCTGTGAGGTAAGTGTAATGTCCAGCACATCTGCTAAAGTCAAAGTAAGGGCCTCTACCCCTCCTAATTTTTGACAATTTTAAAACTTAAAAAATACACACATTTTTAAAATCCCTATAGAAAAAACAAATGAAAAACATTTGTCCATCATTGCAAAAAAGTAAGCATTTATAGACTATTTGTACCATGAAAACACTCATCATAGCATAATTTGATATGCTTACCTGGACATATCTTACAGCATTTCCCCTCTATCTTTATGGGATGTTGGCACGGATACTGGTTGGGGCACGTGACTCTCTTGCATTCTTGAAAGCCGTCCCTGCATGTGCACAAAATGCACTCCAAAATCTTCCCCAGCACCGGATGCCAGACGTCACCATGAGAATAGGTCTTACCACTGTACACACAAGCTTAGACAAAGTCAGAAACCGTACATTACTTTTACAGGATGTGACTTCAATAGGTTTTGACAAGCATTTTCTGGCATTTCCATGCAGTGGTGCACTAAACTGTACCTCTCTGATGTTTGCGCTGTAGAAGGATTTTAACAGTGGTTTCGGAAGCTCCTTTGAGGTGTAATGTCTGTAGGTTGAGACCTCTGGGAGACCCCCGTAGTGTTGATGGTGTGGCCCTAACAGAGCGACCCCTGACCTGATCTGCTGCACACTGATCCACCGAATGCCTCTTGTGATTCAGGACACATAAAAGCAAATGTTGTAACTTTGGACTTGTTCATATGTTTTCCTATTATCCACCTTTTTACTACAGCCCATGATGAGTGAATTATGGGAGTAACTTCCGTTATACAGTAAAAAAGTAAGTGAAGGGTTAAACAAGGGACAGTGCATTGACATAATTCTCCCCACAATTAATCCATCCAATATTATCCATCCAATAATCATTATTATTCATTTATTTATTTTATTTTCGACTCAGTACCTTTGTTTACCTAGGGTCGCGATAGTGGAATGAATCCAACGAATCGCCAACTTATCCAGCATATGATTTACGCAGAGGATGCCTTTCCTGCTGCAACCCATCTCTGGGAAACATCCATACACACTTATTCACACTCATACACTACAGACAATTTAGCCGACCCAATTCACCTGTACTGCATGTCTTTGGACTGTGGGGGAAACCGGAGCACCCGAAGGAAACCCACGCGAACGCAGGGAGAACAAGCAAACTCCACACAGAAACGCCAACTGACCCAGCCAAGGCTCGAACCAGCGACCTTCTTGCTGTGAGGCGACAGCTTTATCTACTGTGCCACCGCATCACCCATTTATTATAATTTATTACTATGAAATGACTTAAATTTGGGGTAAAAAGAATTAAATTAAATTAAATTAAGTCTTTACTTTTCTGGATTTTTATTGACTTGTTGAATGTTAATGTACTGTAGGGAATGCAAAGAGAAAATGTCCTGGAGGAACTAAACACAATGAATTATGTATGGATTATTTGTAGCACAAATATCTTAATATTTAAAATGATCCCATGGGAAAATACTATAGTATACCTTTATAGTATTATAATAGTATACTAATATAGTAATGCTGATTACACGATAACAATACACCCATACACACTCGCATTGACCTCTTGTGATTCAGGACACATAAAAGCAAATGTTGCAACTCTGAACTTGTTCAAATATCATCCTATTATCCACCTTTTTACTACACAACATGATGCGTGAATTATGGGAGTAACTTCCATTATACGGTTATATTATACAGTACAGTTTGTACATTTTAGTTAAAATGTTAGTTACATTAAAGTATTCATTCATATATTAAAGTATTCATTCATTCAAAGTATTCATTCATGAACGACTATTCCTGCATATGTTTTACACAGACGATGCCCTTCCAGCCACAACCCAGTATTGGGAAAAACCCATACACTCTCATTCACACACACACTCATACACTATGGACAATTTAGTTTATTCAATTCACCTATAGCGCATGTCTTTGGACTGTGGGGGAAACTGGAGACCCTGGAGGAAACCAGAAATGCCTACTGGTCCAGCCGGGACTCAAACCAGCGACCTTCTTGCTGTGAGGCAACAGTGCTAACCACTGAGGCACCATGCCACCCCAACACTATAGTTTTTACTATTAATTGCTATGGTATTTTAACACAGTACATTTTCATATGGGACGTGTTTCTGTACTTTTGAATGGAAGTTGAACCAAACTGAAAGTGCAACCCATAATTTAAAACACAGAAGTCACATGCAGAAAAGGTTGAGAGAGTAGCATGAATGAATAATAGTATAGAAAGACTTATAAAAAGAATATATAAAAAGAAAATAATGTACATACAGCTCCTCTGTTTAGTTGTTGTCCTCCATCTTCAAATAATGCTGAATTGATATCAATTGCACTTTCTGTTCAAAACAGACAATGTTAGTTCACTGCCACAATATAAGCCAAGGTGCAACTAAAAAGTAATACAGCTTACCCTATGTTACAAATAGTTTTATTTATACTCTATTGAAATAAGCTACAAGTCTATAAAAAAATGAAGAATATTAAGAGAAGTAAACACAAATTTACTGTAGTCACCTTTGCACACTAGGCAGCAAGTATCCGGGACTGGCACTGGTGAGGAGCATGTGATAGGTTGACAGGATTTCAATGCACAGAAAATATTTCCATTCTTAAATGAAAAAAAAAAAATGAAAAAAAGTATATAGACAAAGAATGAGAAATTGTAGACATGATTAAAATCTGACAAACATAATGCTATCAATTAACTACCGAAGGATCTCAAAAGATCCCTTTCATTGAACAGTAATTTACACTGTCAGAAATAAAGGTACGCGAGCTGTCACTGGGGTGGTACCTTTTCAAAAGGTACAAATTTGTACCTAAATGGTCTATATTAATACCTCAAGGGTACATATTAGTACCTAAAAAGTACAAAAGTGTTCCTCTGAAAATTTGTAGGTACTAATGTGTACTTTTGAGGTACCAATTTGGACCCTTCAAGTACAAATGTGTACTCTTTAAAGAGGTGTCACCCCAGTGACAGCTCTTTTACCTTTATTTCTGAGACTGTACTCTTTTATTATTAAAGATGAATTATTTTTTCACTAGAAATAATGTTTTCCACAACAGATGTTTAAAATTCCTAATGTATAATATACCAATATTTCTTTTACATTTTATTATTTTTGTGTTTTCATGTAACCAAAGATACCAATACAAAAACTTTAATATTGTTGGGAATATTGGACAAAACAAGGAAAAGTTTAGTTATTTTGTCAAACACTGATACTAAATCAGGTTAAAAAAGCATATGAAACTACAGATTTTTTTTTAAAATGATGCATGAACTGATATATTGTGAATAAAATTATGATCATGAAACATTATTACACAGATTGCTTGACTGATTTAAATTATATGCATTATATTTGCATTAAATCTTTATTGCAGACTCTTTTATTCAAAACAACTTGCTCTACAATTCTCGACCTTGACTATTCAATATGCTCTAAAGTCTGTGCTAAACAAATACTTCATATTTACACCTGATCTCACAAGACTATCTTATGCTATTATAAAAACTTGAAAGGATGTTTTGAACCATTTGAAATGATCTACCATGTGTTAAGGTACAGTAAGAGATGTACCCTGAATGCCAAAAAACAAAAACAGACTTACAGAGCAAGTACACATGACACACTGGTTCGACTGACGGGTTGGGAATAGCTCATGGTTTGCAAAAGTTTCCCCCGTTTGGTAAATGCTTCCATTATACCTACAGGTTTTAATGGGTGCCCGCAAACCTGCAGGAGTTCTGTGCTCATCTGATGATAGGAATATACATAATATTCATTAGAGAGGGTGACTTACATCAAAAATCCACTAGAATCATGCACATCAATTTTACCTGCACACCGAGGGCAACACTGCTGTGAGTTTGTGACTGGATTTTCACATCGCAGAGAAGGGCATTTGATGCTGTTGCATTTCACAAGTCCAGGCTATACATATATCCACATAAAAATAAACAGAAACATTTAAGTGTTAAACAAACTATGGGAATCTGACACAAGCATGTACCTGCATGCACGTTTAAAGGTTTACTTGTACACACCGTTTCAGAAAATCAAATGGTCATCTGAATCATTTAACTAAAATAACTATGGCATAGTATAACCCAAAAAAATTTAAATGTAAAATGTGGATACATACTTCTGTGCAAGTACAGCGCATGCAGAACATGAATCCAAAGGGTTCCAAATAGGGATGCCAACTATCTCCTGGCCTGTACGTCTTCTCTTTAAATGTGCAAAAAACATCTAACACAGCATGCAACACAAACAATAATACAAATTATTAAGTTTTTTTTATGCTAATAACTAAAATATAAAAGTTAAAAACAAATAAATAAACAAAATTACCATTAAAGCAAAAAAAAAAAAAAAAAAAACATACGAACAAAAGCAAACTTGGCAATAAAAGGGAGACACTTGATGACACTGATAAAATGTAATTTATTTTACATAATTTTAAAGGGGAACTATTATTGTACATAAAGTCTATCCTACAAAGGAATAATTAAAAACATTAGTATCCCTACAGTGATAAAAGCTACTAAATTTTTTGTTGACTTATTACAAAAAATGTCGTTGTTTACATATGTAAATGAAGTTGTCCTAGGTGTCCTAGGACAATTTGCATGAAATGTCATAAAAAACAATAAAAACGCTGTAAAAATATTTTGTATTATATACCACACATTTTCAATACATTCGTATCGTTGTCAAAATGATGCATCGAGATGTGATGCCCATTTACCAATATAATATTGTTTGATGGAGTCACTTACTTTTTCCAGGTCGTAATGCCTCAGTTTCACCCTGAACAAAGCACCGCATTGTGACCAAAATGAAAAAATGTTTCAAGCAGGTCATTCTTTTCTTCATATTCCAGAAAAAAAAACTGGAGACGCAGGATTTGTCTTCTCAAACTTCTCCGCACTTTTTAACCACGACGGTCTGTGGGAGTTTCTGCAGAGCCTCTAGATTTTATTGAAAGCGCCTCCTAGAGGAAAACCGATTTGTTCGTTGTTCTGTACAAACATTATTTGAGAAACTTCTCAACACAAATAATTATTGTTTAGTTAAGAAAGTCTATATACACCAGCTTACTGCATTTTATAATTAACATCTGGTTGAAGTGAATGGAATCAAAAATTCAGATATAATTGTTCAGAAAAAAAAAAGTATATTACAGGATTTAATGTAAAAAAAAATATATATATATGAAAAAGAAAGACTAAAGCATTTTGAAATTATGTAATTTTGCAATAATGTAAGTATTCTTCAGCAGCTTACCAATTGGTATTATTATGTTTAAATATATTATATTAAAATGCAATGTGTGCTTGTGTGAAAAATTAAACAACTCATTTGCTGCTCGCTAAGTATATTTTCCAATTGTATTAAGTACATAAAATAAATCACTATAGACCATTTCAATGTGGCAATGTCATTAGCCAACGAACATTTCCTGCTTGTTGTCAAACTATTTCTATACTATAACTAACAAGAGGCAATTCAATCGTGACTTAACCTTAATACAGCTATCATTACATCATTCATCAATACGTGGCCCTCTTTTGATTCTCGAAAAGTATGGAAATTAAAAATTTAAAACAGGAAACATATTAGAACTATTGTTAATATTTACGTCCCTCAAAATGGTCTATACTGTGGCTACCTATGAAACAGTGATTAACAAAACTGTTTTAAAAAGGGATACAAGTATAGCACATTTACTACATGCAAAACAATTTTTAAAGTTTTATCAGAAATTATTTTTTATATCAGCACCATACATTGTTATAGTTAGTCCTGTAGCAAATAGAATTTTCTACATGCAAGTTGTCAATGGAATCTTCTTTATGGAATGGATTTAGAATTAAAGATTTTTTTATTTAATCAAAAAACAAAAAATCCATTATGAATCCATGAGTTCTTTCTTTCTTTCTTTCTTTCTTTCTTTCTTTCTTTCTTTCTTTCTTTCTTTCTTTCTTTCTTTCTCCCCTAAAATTTGTTAAATTTGTTATACTATACTGTATATATTATAGATAACTTTCTGCAAACTGCCAATTTTAGATATTTAATTACAATTTTAACACAAAAAATAACTTAACAGCCCAACTTTTTCAAATAAATCCATTTTTAATAAATAAAATAACATTATTCAGGTTAGAGAAAAATATGGAACAAAGAATTCCCAGAATACAATGAGAATCAATTCACCCAAAGATAATATACCTGACAGCAATTCCAAATGCAGTTTATTTGTGATATCTATATCTCTGATAGTTATATATCTGATATCTAAACACTGGTTTGGTACAGTCTTCAGTATTCTAAATAAGACATATTCATAAAAGGTAGAAAGTAATGCACCTGTTAGTTTACATTACACATCTTCTCAGTCTCAATCTGTGCTGCTTGTTCCACTCTTTTCAGATGGGCCGTACTGTACTTCCTCTTCAAGTCCTTCAGCAGGATCAGTGCTTCATTGTATTCACTCTTATCAACTTTATTCCCTCCTTTCAGTATATTATCTGCACAGATAAAACAAAAAAATGCATTTAAAATCTTTTTTTTTTCTATAAGCAATGGTGAATTTAATGACATACTAAAAGCAGTTTGGTTTGAGGTTTCCTAGATGGCATATATCCACAGTCATTCCAGTGGAGTTGCAGTGCAGCCAAACACACTAGCAATCTGTTAAGTGTTGAAATAATAGAGCAACAGCTGCAGAGCCAAACAGAGCATTTCAAAGTAAACAGCGCTGCACTATCACTACAACTTCTTTTCAGTCTGCTTGTTAGTTGACTTGTACAACATGCTAATGCGCTATCGTTGATGATGAAATTTTGTTCCTGCTAAAATAGCATTACTAGGCTTGATTACACTGAATTCAGAATCTTGATTTTCTGATTTATGAAAATAAGCGTCTAAGGCTATTTCAAAGCCTGCTGTTAAATGACAAAGGAAGTTTATGTTACCCAATGGATATTTGCTTATTGTTTTCGTCTCCTTTATTTGGTCAAGAAGTCCATCGACTATTTTTCCCCTCGACTTCTTTGGTTCCAAAGGCGGCAAATTTTTAATCTGTGAAAAGAATGTTCCTGCTGTGTTATTGATAACAGATGACCCAAGTCCTCTAATGATCTTCACATCTTGCTGGTTTAGATGACCATGTTTTATACACTCACCAGGACACTTTAATGGGTATACCTGCTCATGTAATTACTAATTGATGCAAATTTATAATCAGCTTATCACATGACAGAAGTGTAATTTTTTAGGTATGTAAACATGGTACAGATGAGCTGTGTGTAGCTCAAACAGAGCATCAAACTGGGGAAAAAGATGTTTTAAGTGACTTTAAACATGGCATGTTTGATGGTGCCACATGGACCTGTCTTTCAAAACCTCTATGGTTTACAGAGAATGAAAAAGAATATTTATCCAGATAGTGGCAGTTATAATGCTGAACATGTCTGTTTTTAATGATCACAGTGTGCCCATCTTGTGACTTCTACTTCCAGCAGGATAAAGCTCCATGGCCAAAATCTCAAATCATTCCACATTGAGATTTGCATCTAAAACAGTAATACATCTGCACCAGCATTATGATGATGTCAATATGGAGCACAATCTGAGAAATGTTCCAACACCTTGCTGTATCTATGCTATGGAAAATTATTATATCTTATTAAAACTTGAACTGTCAAATGCACGCTTTTGTGTTGAAATATTGTAAACAGCCAGTCTCATCCAAGTGAAAGCAATTCTGAGACAGTAACTGTGTATATATATTTTTTTGACAGCCAAAAATATTGTTTACTCGAAAATGAAAATTCTGTCATAATTTACCCACCCTTTACGTGTTTCACACTTTTATGAGTTTCTTTTTTCTGTTAAACAGAAAAAAAATATTTAAAAAAATTTTGTAACCTGTAACCATTGACGTTAACAATAAAATTAACTTTCACAACCCCCTTTCACACATACAGACCTTTCCGGAAAATTACTGGCAATTTTTGAAAATACCAGTAAATTCGTTCAGGCAAATTTCCAGAAAGAGTATGGAATGCTGCTTTATATGAACGCAGAAGGAAAATTGCTGGAAAGAGCATGTCGCGAGGGGGTGGGGCCGAGAGCCATAGGAACAGAATGAGGCCGCCACATAAGTGGATTCACCTGTGCGGCGGCCTCATTGCGTTTCCACAGCTCTCGGCCCCGCCCCCTCGCCACAGAGCGCGTTCACATTTAGAATGCGCTGAAGTGAGACGTCTACAGAACTTTCAAACTCATTCAGATCTGCACTGTTTATAAAATGAAAGGCTTTGAATATTTTTCCAGAGACATTTAGCAGCTAGATGTTTGTCAGATAATGTTTCTATGTTCCTTCTCAATGCCTTATGATAATCCAAGTTTGTTTACCTTTAAGCTATGCTTCAGTTGCTTGATGCGTGTGCACGTGAAGTGCCAGCATGCACACATATTATGTAGCATAAACCAACAACAAAAGCCAGACCCCTTCTATGTTTAAAAGTACAAAAGCGGCCGTTTTGATGTCATTTCTGGTTAATGATGTCAGAATTTACCGGTATTTTGGAATGTGTGGATGGTCTTTTCCAGAAAAATTCTGGAATGTTCTTGCCTGTGTGAACAGTACTGTTTTGAATTTACTGGTAAAGTCATTCCGGTAATTTTTTGGATATTTAATGGTAACACTGTGTGAAAAGGGCTATAGGCAATAGTTTATGGTTTTCAACTTTCTCCAAAATATCTGCTTTTTTTGTTCAAAATAAGAAAGAAACTTATTAAGATTTGTAACCTCTAAGGTGAGTAAATAGTAAGAATTTTTGGGTGAACTAACCCTTTAAGGCAGTTCCATAGAAAAAAGGGCAGTTTAACCCATTACTATCAAAGTGCGCCTAATAGAGAATGAGAATCTATGTCATGACAAATGTATTTTGCCATGTTTTCAGACATGCATAATGTAAACCAATGCAAATCTCCACAAAAGTCAACCGTTTAATAGTAATGACTTTTGAAAAAGAACTTACAAGCACTTTAAAATTGACTAATGTGTAGATACATTTAAAAATGCTCTTTATGTGTCTGAAAAGCTGTTGATGTGCATTCCATAATATTTAGTCTCCATCACTAAAGTGAAACTAGAGAAGATGTGTACCGATGCTGGAGAGTGGAGTAAATAAATGAACCAGCTTCTGTAAGTAATAAAATAACAACGAGATGCAGCAAGAAAAAATTTGCATAGAAATGATTTTCATCTTTATCTGTAGTGTGAGCTTTTGAACTTTTATGCACATGCACATTTTTTATAAAGTGCATTTATTGTGTATTGCTATATAGCCAAAGCTCTTTACAGTTATGTTAGGGGGTCTCTCCACGACACAATAAATGGTGGAGAAGAAAGATGGTGATAGAGCCAGTTCAGAGAATGGAGACAATTGGGAGGCCACGATAGAAAGGGCTAATAGAGGCAATTTGGCCAGGACAATGAGGGTTACATCCACACTTTTAGTGCGAGCTTATTACAAATCAGTGTATGTATGACTCAATAAACCTATGTAGGTTAATAGGATACAGGTTCTCAAGTCCCAAATTCCCAGAATGCATTGCACTGTAATGACACATTCTCATTCTATATAAAGTGGCCCATGAGTGTATTGCCAATGAACAACCTCTCACCTTTCTCTCTCTCTCTATGTACAGCTTCTGAGGAATGTCCACATTTGCTTTAGAATCTCGATACACAAGCAAGTTTTTAAGCGTGTGCTCAAGAACATTAACGGCATGCTGAATTCCTGCATTGAAGAAAACCACTGACAACATGAACAAACAAACACCAGTGATTCAAACAAAAGCAACAGGTAAACAAGAGAAAAATTCCTACCACAAGTCTCAGGCATTTCTGGCCCAGATGTA